TGGAGCACAGATAAGGTGGCAAGAGTCAAGTAAAGCACTTTAACCAGGAAGATAGCAGACAAATCATACGGGGCAAGAGGGATACTCTGATACGACCTAGGGGAGAGCTGCATAATAATATGGCAGACTCTGATCAACATTCCCAGCACAAGGGCGAAGTGCGGCTGGGGTGAGAACGCCAACGTGGAGAGTGGAGGGTTCTTATGAAAGCCACTCAAAAGGGCACACCACACTATATTTAAATAAGCAAGGAAAAAATTGTGAAACTGAAGACGTGATATGAGGATATAAGAGGTAAATAGCCCAGGACAGAAGGAGCGATACCACAACTGTTTAACACACATTTGGTCAAAGGATCGACTTAATCTGTCTCTTTGACGAGTTGTAGTATGGTGCTAAGGGTGGTAAGACACACTGACGATGCCGGCGAAACGTCTGGGAATGTACCACGTCCACGGTGTGACTTTTGAAATGATCGCGCATAAAATTGACTTTTAACTAGATGCGTTCCTCTAAGTCTTCCTACCAACGTGACCAAGTTGCGAAAACAAGGTCAAACAACTTGTATAGAACGAAAGGAGACTGCGACCAAACAAAAAGCCACATCATCTTGGTCCTCATATCTTCGAATAAAAAAATGAACTATAATTGTTTACGCGAATGTCTCGAGTACTCACTTTGCCAACCAGATATACGCCGACATCACCCATGCAAAAAGTTTTCGCTTAACCCGCCACCACAATGGCATAGCCATTTCATCCACCATCAGGTCCTCTGAGAAGAATCTTCGTGTGATCAACCATCCTGCTTGTGCTAATTTCTCCAATACCAGAGCATCTGATGATGACGAACCAGTCGATCGAGCCTGCCGAGCGCAAGCACCAGTTGTCATAGTCTGAGAGCAAATATTGGGTTTTGGATCCTCAGCTTCAAGCCAATCGCGCCAGTCAAGCAGCAACGCAAGATTGGGCAGCACCTGACTAGCAAGATCATCAAGCAGACCCACTCTTATCTGCCTAGCTGCGTCCCTTATTGCCACATGATTATGAGATGAATGCTCTTCTCCAGTGGCTGTAGCTGGTTGAGAACCGAAGGTGAACAGTTTTCCTACTATAAAAATGAGGATTGAGCGTATCAATCCAGAAAAATGTACAAGGAGTGTGACGATGTGAGCGAAAAGACAACTTATTGTGCTGCTATGAGGAGTCGGTGGACCAAGATCTGAATTAAGGGCTGCATGTCGAGCAGGATGGGCCTGACTATTCAAAGGGATTAAGCGAAATGCGGTTGTGTTGGAGGTCATCCTCCAAACCCAGAGGAGATGGCCAGCATTTTCTGTAATGGTCAAAATAGAGGAAACAGGAAACTTATAAAATTGTTGTAATGCCAATATTTAAAAGATTGCTGAATGAAATAATATCTTATGCGACTCATCTATTTAAATGAAGCTAAATATAAATGTATAAAGGCACGAATGATTATTACAATAGCTTTCAGTTTCAAACAACACTTTGGCAAATATAGGGCATTTATAAAAATTAAATTCTCCAAAATGACACAACTTTATAGGTTATATACCGGGCTCAAAAAGCCACAATCTCAAGACCCCTCAGTCTCCAGAAAGATAAAATATATATCGATTTACATGGTTTATAAATATAATGTCCACTAACTATAGATGATGTTTAGTAAAACCCCTCTAGTTATTGAACAAAAGTAAGCAGTGATTTATTACAGCCAGAAGAAAAATTATTTATAAAGGTTAAGGTGACTTCGACTGGGTTGGGGAATTTAAGGGAAATGAGGTAAATTTTCGCCATTACGAGAGAGGAAAGACAAAGATAGCTTGCCGAAGCAATTTGTACAGGATATTGTGATACCGTTACATTCAGAAGATTGGAACAGGAAACTACTTTCAAATAAATGGCCCTGACGCTCTCGGCTTCACTAAATGCAGTATGCTGTTGACGAGGTAAAATATTTACATCGTTGTGCTCAGTGAATAACTTCATAATCAAATTTTGTGCCAAGAAGGTAACATTAGAGTATGACAAAAATATTGGAGTACCTTTCATTTAATTTGAAGAGGCCATTGAAGGGAATTCATTCGACTGAAAGTCGAATATGAAATCCCTTGGAGCTAGATTTAAGCGAATAAGTTCCCGACTTATCGCCCAGTGGCCCCGATCCATCTATGCTGAGTTTTCGTCTGTCATTTGACTGACATCATCAGAGCAAAAAATCATGTCCGTCACATGACGAGGACGAAAGTTTACTCAGAATGGATTGAGGTCGCGGAACGATAAGCCGAGGACTTATTTGCTTAAATCTGGCTCCAAGGCAATCTCATTCGACTTCCGAAGAGGCTAACTTACGATTCCCTTCCACTAGCCTCTTTGACTGAAATGAGAGTTACTCCAAAATCAATTTATCAAGGGGTTCTTCGTAAGCCAATTTTTCTACATGTATGCAAGCTAATGATTGTATGAACAAAAGAGAATACAGAAAATGATACAAGAAAATAAAGAAACTTCACACTTCAAAAACCACCGCAAGACTGGGAAAGTTTTATACGCAGACATCATCCTTAAAGAACCATCGACCTACCTGTGCGCAAAAAGAGATCGTCAGGTGCATTCCGGCCTAAAACAGGAGCAACGGATCGATGAGCCAGCTGGCGCAGCCAGGCGGCTTGACGATCCATGTAAATGTGTACTGGAACAATGACTGGGTCAATGCGATGGCGAGCGGAGGTACCCGTGCTGGATTGTATAAGCCGGTCGACGGCATGAAACCACTTATTGCCGCCAATGGCCATTCTCAGCCCAGCCAGTTGGAGATCTGCGGATGGAGACAAGCCCATTGGAGATGAAGTCAAAAACGAGGCAGAAGAGGATGAGGAAAGAAGTAGGACTAGACAGAGATGCCGGTGTCCAAGATGAGGGTCAGTACGGGAACCTAAACCTGAATTTGAGTCAGTCTTGTGTTGGTAATGATGCCGATGTTTGGATCCTTGACTCGATAGGCTGGGTGGAACATGGCCATCAGTCGGGCAGAGGTCGAGGAGTCTGGCAGGACTGGATAATCGTGGAACGGCTAAAAGACTATACTCGGACAGTCCAGCATCTAGCTGGGAGCGGGAGAGCCGAGCTGCTGATACACGGTAGACCGGAGTAGCAAAATCCTCGTGAAAAATGAGCAAACTTTCCTGGGTCAAACGAAAAATGGCCAGTAATAAATCTAGATAAGCCATTAAAATGCAAGGCTGATAAAAAATTAGCTAAAATGATTGTTAAAGAGAATAGGCGAGCAAGCATCAAATAAAGTACTAAATGATATGAATAAGACAGTATTATTGGTTTTAAATGAGTATAGTATTCTAAATTATAATACGAACGTAAAATCAAAAAAGAGAAAACTAGATTGCTATGCTCGGTCAGTGGAGAAATGATAAAGAAATACCTGACCAGAAGATGAATTCAACGGTCCAGTAATATTAAAGATATTATTTTAAAAAATTATGAATGGCATGCTACATAACTGAAAGACCTCCCAAGCAAAATAATTTTCATTGAAATGCTTTGAATTAAAAGCTATCCAGATTCAGCTTAATTATGTCCCTTCTGAATTATCGAAGAGATTTTCGGTTGACTAGGTATTGAAGGAAATTATGTAATACTCTTATAACTAATAGATATAAAATGGACAGTATTTTTCAAAAGTAATCACATAACAGAGGATAAGTTTTATTACTTCACTACGCAGCAAATTGAAATTCATCATCACTGTCCTGGCTTCCTGAAGTTGGGAATTAATAA